CAGGTCTCGGTATCGTGATAACAAAGATACATGCAAGATACAAGATACAAGAATATTTATTTTACGTCGTTTTTGCACAACATACAACATAAGCTACAAAGAGCTTGTATTTCGACTAAAACATGAGTATGATAACAGAAACAAAAACCATTACAACATGGATAAATTAAAAAAAACATACATGTACTATACTGTAAGCACAGAGAAAAGAGTTTATCATTTTAAAAGCATTTTCACATAATAGGCACATTGCACAAGGTAAGCACATCAGCACATGGTAATATAAGCATAATAGCACATTTGCATACAGCACATACATTCGCACATATTAGGCACATTTGCACAATGTAAGCACATGGTAAAGCAGACTTGCACATATAGCACATGCCTGAGCACATCAGCATACAGTTAGCACAAAAAGTGCAAACCATTGGCAGCACATCACAAAAAAAACAGGTTTGCTAGGACATACATAGAGTACATCCACATTCAGACGTTATCCCCATTTTTCGTATATGAAAGTCTATGTATTATTTCATGCTAATAGATATATTATGTTTGAGATATTTGAAACTATCCTGGAGAAGAACCTCCAGATAAATTAGATACTCAAGTACTATGAAATTCAAAAAAGTATTTGAATTATATATGATTCGCAGTCCTTTCAATTAATTGATTAACTCAGAGATAGTCTGTTTTGGACAAGCTCAACCCCAATGCCTATATAGTAGTTTCACCGTATACTACGGTATAGTACTGATAACCACATTTAAAACCGTACTTCGGAATACCATTGTACATGTGGTGTGTTCCTTTATCTGTCCATTTCTCGTTAGTATCTACTTAATAAGATACATTTCCTATTCAGGCTATCGAATTTTAATTTATACTTATCCCGATTGTCGCTATCAGTTATACACAGTATCATTCTCAAGTTATTGACAGTATCGTCTGATAAAGAGGAAAACCCTGGTTCCTTAGGAAATCTCGATATTGTCCATTTAAATTCTCGATCAGTACGTAATAAAACTTACTTAATTGAAGCTGAACTAAATAACAATGACATTATCTGTATCACTGAATCGCATCTTAAACCTGAAATCCCAAACAGTGATATTATTATTGATTCTCATTCGATAAATCCTCATAGAAAAGACAGACTTAACAGACAGGGAGGTGGCGTACTGGTCTATTATAAAGATTCTGTTTTAACCAAAAGGAGACATGATCTTAGAATATATGATATTGAGCTACTATTGTTTGAAGTCACTATCAACAAACATATATTTTTATTAGGCTGTCTATACAGGCCTCCTGATTCAAATGTTGAATTTTGGACGAAACTTGATAGCATTCTTGAAAAAGCATCAGACCTTTCTCTAGATATTTTATTAGTAGAGGACATTACTGTTAATCTTCATTTTCTGCAACCAACCTCCCACCTTTCAAGTACTGAAGTTGTCCAGGAATCCCCCAGGGATCAGTTCTGGGTCGTTATTGTTTTTATTATATATAAATGATATTACTGACCTTTGTTCAAGTAAAGTAAAACATTTTGCTGATGACACCTCTCTATATGTTATTGTTGATAACAATCCTGATCAGTCAGCACAATTTCTTACAAATGATTTAAAAAATATTAGTGCATGGGCTAAACTATGGGATATACATTTCAATCCAACAAAAACAAAATCTGTATTGTTTTCCAGGAAAAAAAGAAATTGCTATACCACCAATTTTGTTTCAAAATAATGTAATTTCTAATGAATCCACTCAGAAATACTCTTCATGAAAATGGTACCTGGGAATCCCATATATAAAAAAGCATATGCTAGAATAAATATACTAGGCTGTTTGAAATATAAACTTACATGTAGCAGAGAAACTCGAATAAAAATATATTTTGCATTCATAAGACCTTTACTTGAATATGCTGCTGTAATTTGGAATAATTGTACAACCCAACTAAAACATTTACTAGAATCTATCCACATTCGAATCAGCAAGAATTATAACAGGGCTGAGAAGAGGAACATTACGTTATTTATTTTATATGGAATAAAGATTGGAAACATTAGAAATTCGTCGAAAAAATCATCAATTGATCCTAATGTACAAAATACTACATGGCCATGCACCTTTATACTTGCAAGAAACAATTAACACTTTTATTAACAATAATGAAGCAAATATACACTCATTGCATAGAAATAGAATATTTAGCCCTCCACTCTGTAGATCAAATACAATGTAACTATATACTCATAGTTTTTTCTTCAATGCTCCGAGAGTTTAATAAACTCTCACCTACTACAGTACAAGCAACCTTTATTAACAATTTTAAGAAACTTTTAAACATACATGTCAAATGTCAGTGAAGAGGAAGATGTGAGTGTTTCAGATATATTCAAAAATAAAGCTTTTTCAGCTTAGAAATGAATGTAGCAACTTAAATTTTGACCTATATATTGATCATTTAAAAGAAAATTCTGTGTGCTTGTGATTTAAACCATGAAACTGTCTCACATTTTTTTTCTTCACTGTCCCCTGTTTTCAGTTCAAAGAGCATTACTAAAAAATGAACTTGAACTTATTGGAAACCATTACCACTTTCATCTTACCAACTTACTACATTGTATATTGTCAAATATGTAACGAAGGTGTTAATATGGAAATTCTTAACTCTGTCCTAAAATATATAGCTAAAACTAAAAGATTTGTTGAATATCGAGTATAATACCATGCAATTTCATACATGTTGAGTAATTATATATACATACATACTATATATATTTGTAGATAATAACACTTATTTATAAAAACAACATACATTCGTGCAAGAGTGCCTCTATGGCTGGTTATCATGATATTGTTATGCTTTCCTCTTATATTCTCCTAAACTCCTTATATCTTTAATTTCTAGTGTAGGTACTTAAGATCTGCAATTTTACCATATATATACTCAAATGCATTACTGTGAATTTATACTGCAATAAGATTTGCTCTGGATCCTGTACAGTGTTCAGTTGAGGACCTAAACGTAACACAAGGACTGTGCGGTCTTCAATCTGATATTAAAGCTTGCAATTGTTTGTAAACTATATGCGGTCTATGACAAATATATATATATATATCTTACCTACATTGTAGACTGAATCTAATTAATACACTATGTTTTGGGAGTTATCCCCCTTCCATTCCGTACTTTGTATAATAACCTGTTAATTATGTAAATATCTAATAATACTTAAGTACATAACTGGCAGTAGAACTATAGACAATATCTATAAGAAATATAATCGAAATTTTAAGCAATTTATTTTGTGATCATATCATTATATATAACTTTCTATGGACTTTATATACCTGCAATTCTTCTCTATACCAAAATGTGCAGACCCTATATAATGGATACACAAATTTATTACGGCAAAATAAAATGTATCATAATTAAATAGTATATGTACTAGAGATTAAATCATCGGGCCAATTCGTCCATATTCATATTGTATCCGTTACTAAATAGTTATGTATATATCATATTATCTTACATCCGCTGCATGAGGTTTAGAAATGAACAGTACTGTACATTAATTTTTTATGGCAACATATTGTCTAAAAACAGGTTCTAACGTCAATTATGTTACCTATTTCCAATGATTAATTATTGACAGTAAGCAAAATCTTTATAATTATAATATCAATCCATTATGTCCATATATCTACCACGAATGGAGAGGATTTATAAAGGCTATAAGCCTGTTATCCAATCCTTTTGACAGTGTAACATTCTTCTTTGTCAATCAAGTATGTTGAAATTGAAATAATTTTATACTTGTTATTGCTTTGCTCTGAAAGGCATTATAAGTAAGCTTGATATCTCAATTGGTTTTTTCAATTGACCTTTTTTCATTCTCTTCACCGAGACATTTCAGACGGTATATTTTTATCTTTAATCCTATTATTTGATACATAATATCACCTTTATATTTCTTCTGTTTTGCCAACGACATTGCAGTAGTTTATGATCACTTGGTGACTGTCTTACGGGAAATAACTCGTGTGACAGATCTGCATTGTGGTTTTGACTCAGTACGAGAACTTAACGCTGTGTCATGAATAATAACTCTCCTTTTTCATGTGTTTTTGTTTGATACAGTTGCATTGGAACCGACACAGGAATATATTGAGGCCTCAAGAGGAGGGTGGGGGGNGCCGGGGGCTCTGGAATGCAAAATCCGTCATAAATCAGTCAATTTGAGATATTTCTGGTTTTCTTCATGTACACGACTAAAATTTTCAACAAAAAATTAAGATGTTCTTCTTTTGGAAAATATTATGATATGCTTTAAAATTTATCAACGACATACTCTTCCATGTTCGACACAAATGTGTCAGATGTTGACATTTTAAAACTGTACAAGAGCGATGAATGTCACGTATTTTCTTCATTAATTGACATACTTGACAGAAGTTAAGATTTGAAAGTTACTATTTATTCCATCAAGAGATGAATATCATAACAAAAAATCAAAATTTGTGAACCGTCTTTAAACGGCCTACGACCTAGGTCGTGATAGAGCGGTACATAAGAACCTCGAATTATTATTATTATTTTATCATTTTATGAAATACCACGCAGATGTCAATTTCGAACCCTGAGATCTCTTAACCTATTGTTATGTAATACTTCAAGTAACACTGACTGTGATTAGTACCTTGAACGTTTAATTATAAGGTCAATGTCACTTGTCTGCCTCCCCTTATAGATTTTTGACAGTTGTGTCAATGTAGCTTTGTGCAATGTATTTTTTTCTTCTTTTTCTTCTAGGCCATTAACTGTCTGTTATTAAACACGGTAAACGATAGCTACAGGTAAAAAGTTAACTTCATTACATTATCTACTGTATAATGTAACGTATGTTTATAATGCACACACTTATCTATGTTTTTGGCCTAACGCCAGGAGTCCGGGACCTCATACGTGTCGGTCGGTTTCATCACATTGATATACCCGGAACAAGGGAGTGTACAGTTAAAGCTAACAACAAAATGGTGGCATTTCACAGTTTGGGTGTTAAGTGTTGTCGTGTTCTGTGAAGGGGCCAACACCATGGCAAGTAACAGATCCGTACGGCGTGCACAGGAACCTGTCACCTACACGTGTGATTTGTGTGACAGTGAAGACGGGGTAAGATGGTATTGTAACGATTGTCAGGAGAATTTATGTGACCGGTGTAAGGAAACCCATACACGCGGAAGGAAAACTAAAAACGATGACGTCGTGTCGATCGGGGAGGCTAACCGTCAGGACCACTTACCTGTGCCAGAGGTATGTAAACGCCATCCCGGTAAACTGTGTGATTTTTTCTGCTCGGACTGCAACGAGTTGATTTCTTCGACATGTTTTTCTAAACGTCATGATCAGCACAACTGGAAACTTTTTGAAGACGAACTGTCTGTCAAAAAGGGACATTTTAAGGAACATATGACAACGATAACTGATAAAATAGCACATTTCAAGAACGACACGTCAGAGCGACATCGCGTGAACAAAACATTCAAAGACAACATTGATACAACGAGGAAAGAGGTAAACTCACAGAGGACTAAGTTAAAGGCAGAAGTAGATTATGTCGCGGAAGCAGTCCTGGCCGAGTTAGCATCTTTAGAAAAAGAAGAATCACTGCTGTACAAGAAAGATATTCAACGATCGGAGAAAAATGTCGAAGAGCTGACGCGTCTGCTTGAAAAGGCGGAACTGACAGATACATCTAGTGTATCCATATTTGAAACGGAAATGTCATTGAGGAAAACTCTGCCCCTGTATGAATATATAGTATGAAACATGTTTCACCAAAACAACCAAGCTTTGTTACCGGAAGTATTAACCGCGTCCTGTTGACGAAAATGTTAGGTGAATTACACCACGGGAACCAGTACGAAAAGACAGACATCGACAGTAAACACGTTCAACGTCTCTCGAAGATTACTGTTACTCAACGAAATGAAATACGGAGTATATGTCCAGTCGACGACAGTCACGCGTGGTTATCAATAGACCAATACCATGGTCTGGTACTGATCAACAGGGAGGGTGTGGTCATAGAGACAGTAAAACTGGACTTTTGTCTGTACAGAATAGCCATGGTCGGGACAACAGACATACTTATGAGCTGTTCTGATGATAGTACATTTGTATATAAACTATCACTACACAACACACAAGTGACAACATTTGCTGACATCAAGCCACATGAACCACATGACATCAGTATCAACGAGAGGGACGAGGTGTTTGTTAGTACAAACACACCAGACATAGTGGTACTGAATCAGTCAGGTACGATTGTGAGGAAGGTGACGTGTGGAATGAATGGGCGGTTTATTACATGTTTGTCGTCAGGAGACATTGCAGTGTCGGACTATACAAATGTATCAATCATAACAGACAGATCTGGTACAACCAAATATAAATGGACTGGTGAACTCAACAATGGTCATAATGTCGGTAGTAGGTCACTCCATAATATATCACGTGACAAGTACAACAGACTGTTAGTGCTAGACTACAAAAACGATCAGGTGTATGTCCTACCGAGAGATAGTACACAGGCCACGTGTCTCCTGGACGAGAAACATGGAGTGGTCAGTCCTACAGCAGTGGGTGTGGACAAGTGTGGGAACGTGTGGATCGGGTGTTTGAACGGTACCGTACACGTGATGAGACTGTAACAGGAGGAAAGAGTACATGATGAACACTTGACCTCGTGGTACAATACTACATTATGTAAATATCATCACAAACAATTCATCAATGTCTGATAAATACCCTCAAATATCGATTATTTTTGTAGAGACATTCGAACAATTGATCAATTGGTGTTAATGACATTTGTGGGAAAAAACACATTTCAAAGTAATAAGGTTTTTGAACCGACAATGTCTGATTATTGAACTGATCATTTTTGCACAACGTAATTAATCATATGCACACATGAAGAGATAGTTAAAGAGAAGGGGAAGAGAGAAAGAATCAGTCAGAAAATAGTATTGTTTGTTATTTATTTGAGGGTAGCAATTAGTTAAATTCCATTATTACCACTGTTACTGATGTAAATATTTGTTTTTTTTACTACGTTAATACTTCCATCCAAGAAATGAGCACCGATATTCCTATAAGCTATAAAATAAAAGATTCCTACGTAGACAGGGATGTAACTCGAAGCTATAAAATAAGAGATTCTTACGTAGACAGGGAAGTAACTCGAAGCGATAAAATAAGAGATTCCTACGTAGGGAAGTAACTCGAAGCTATAAAATAAGAGATTCCTACACAGGGAAGTAACTCGAAGCTATAACATAGGAGATTCCTTCGTAAACAGGGAAGTAATTCGAAGCTATAAAATCCATCTGCTTGCTTCATCTGCACTACATACAAAAGTAAGTTCGTATATCAGAGTTCATTTTGCCTAATTTTATTTTTATTTTATTTATCTTATTTTCCTTTCCTGTCCTAAATAAATATAAATTTCTTTTCGAGAATGTCGTCGTGATATTTGTAAAATCCACTAAATATCTCAAATGTGTATTGATGCGCCATCTACTATTCTAAGCTGCTTCAATATTTGATGGAAGGGGGGAGGGGGGCAATGATGTGGGGCATCAAAAATTCTCTTAGTTGAAGTGAATTTCAAAACAAATAATATTGTCTTTTGTTCCATTTTAGTGTCATAGAACGCACGATTGTTCTACGATTTGCCTGCGATTCCAACATTTTTCAGTCGCAGCTAGATCGTATCCTGGTCGCAGGCCCGGTGTGACTGATTATCCATCTAAAGCGATTATTTAATAAGCGAAATTTTCATGAACTGAAACAAATGAGGAAAGAACTCATGACCAACATTCCTGTTAGTTTACTGACGGATTAGACAGACAAGAAACTACACGAAAAACTAGAAATTAAGTCATGAGTATTTAATTTCCCGCTTTTTTGTCAATATTTGTAATAGAATTGTTTACGCCTTTGGTATGTGGACGTCATATGTAAACTATCTATCGTCTCGGAAAGCAAACCAATAATAACTAGCCAACGAAATTAAAAGCGTGAGCACGAGCTTTCCAGTTTAAATGTCGAAACATCATAAACATTGTCTTTTGGGAGGCCCCCTCGATACTCTTGGAGTTTCGCTCACTTACGATCTCTGCAGCCGTGGAATATGTCATAGTGGAATTTAAAGCACGAAGGTAGCTGTTGGATTTGTCTCAATTTTCCCGTTACGTTGCCGCATGACTATTTTGATGTATATCAAAGGCTCAGACTAATATATTTAAAAAAAAAAAAAAAAAAAAAAAAAAAAACATTTTTTGACTTAAATGGTGTTCTATCCTTTCTACATATAAATGAAGAATAGGAGAAGAGATTTTGAGGTTACTTTAACTTGTGTCCAGCCTTTGTTGTATAATTTGTAACAGTTAAATTTGTTAAAATCAAGTCGATGCTTTCCAAGCGAAATGAATCTTATTATTGATGTATTCATAAAAATAGTTCTTGTGTAATTAAGACTCCCATGAAAAAAATAACGAATCTGTGTATATAATTACAAGGCGAAGGCCATGTTCATGTAGATATCTTTAATACCATCAAACAAAGCCGTACTAAATAACAAATAAATGAGATCTTTCACAAAACAGACATTACAGACAAGCGGACTGACTTGATGGACATAATGGAAGAAAATGACATTGCATTTTAGTTAGTGTTGTCGATGCTTAGCTGATAAAACGGTTACTTTGTCGGTAGACCACGAACTTGGTAACATTTTCAATAGCAGAATGTTCGGGCATTTATTTACCCCTTTAGGGAGCCTCATGTTTCTCCGGCTTACGCCAACAAAATATCTTTAGCTGCTACCAAAATTGGATAGTTTTGTAATAAAAAAAGGTGTTCAGACTGACATGTTAGTGTTGTTTTTGTACTCTATTGTAAAGATTGACAAAGAGAAAACGCCAGCGCCATAGAAAAACAGGACCGATTTTAAAAGGAAGCCAGAATACAAAGCGTTTACATGCGAGATATAAAGATGATATGAAGAGTACACTATTGATTGAGCAAGCATGTAATAAAACGTTAGTCGATCAAACTTTGTTATAAAGAACGATACTATCACATATGATTTCGAGTACTGATAACTGTAATTGAATCCCGCCTTACTGTATTCCGACATGTCTTGCCCATTAAATATACTTACTGAGGTTACATTTAACTATTTCCTGGGTTAAGCTTAAATACGCCAGTAAGCTATCATGCTAATTGATATACGTTTTAAATGGGGTGCTTGCTAAACATATAACGTATTGTCGTTGTTTATTGTTTGATTACAAAATTGACCGAATAAACACCTCTTTACTTGTTTGACTTAAAGGGGTTGGTCGGGGGAAAAATGTCATATTTGCTAAAATGGCATACACATGTTTAAAATACCTTCTTATGAAATATACCGATTCAAATTTTGCTGAAATTCACTCCCTAAGAGTAAAAATTATAATTGTATTAAAGAAATCCTAAATCGTTACCTGACAGTCTAAAACTCTCAATTGACCATGATCAGTGATATAATTTTACCGCATGCGCGTCATCAACAAGGCCAAATGTAAACATCGCGGCGATAGAAAAAGATACATGCAAAAGTCATGACAGGCATATAGGTAGGAATACTACACTTGCATCATACATGACTTTTGAAAACAAATATTTACGTATAGTATTGCTGTCTTGTCCGCTAGTTGAGTCCGACATGGCTGATAGACGACGTGTTATTGTTGTTATCGTCACTGCCAACAACTGGACATTGCAAGCAGATATCGACCATCATATTGCCGTGGTATAACATTTGGAAGGCCAGAGAACGCATTTAGACCCATTTATTTTATTTTGTATCTTTTTCCCCGACCAGCCCCTTTTACATGAAAGCAATAAAATAGAACCATTTCCATAAACATATTTTAGGGTATAAGTGCAGGAAAGGAGGGGGGTTGGGGGGTTGACAACTTTTTGTAATATGGGACTCCGAATTGAGAGGCTGACGCTCACTTTACCTGTGTTGTTGCTTGTCAGATAATCAAAACTTGGAACATTAAGACAACACCGGAAGATAAAAAGAAGCTGTTTATATCAACACATCGAACACTTTTACAAGAATTATGATTTTTTACTTACAAAAACCATGCGTTCTACTGAACCGGGATAAAAACATTGGATGTATAATTGAGTTTGTAACAACCGGAAGCGTACACTTTATCCATATCATACTGTATTAATGTTTGGTACGTGTGAATTTTTTATGTATTACATTATAGTAATTCGACGTATGTCCGTGGTATATAATAATGTGTTTACAGTTCGTCTTAGTTTTATACAGTAAAAAGATGAATACAATTGATCAGGCTATTAATGTGTGATAACTAACTAATAAACTGACCTTGTCCTTGTTATCTATAAAAAAAAACTATATTTAATTATAATGACTAAATGATTTATGAAGAAGTTGAGTAAGAAAACTATAGTCAGTAAGAAAAGGATTAAAAGGAGGAAATGAATAGCTTCATGCATTTATATTCAAGTATCTATGCTTACGGAAATAAGTAGAGAAGAATGTATGTACGAGTGACTGTTTAAAGTTGAAAAGAAGAAAAAGATCAAGGACGAAAGGAATGTAAGTAGCATTTGTATGTACCTCTACGTATCGATGTAAAATGTTAGAACGATGTAGAAATTGTAGGAATACATTGATATACATGTATTCATGTGAATATACATTTATGCATGTATGTGTGCGTGTAAAAATGTGAATACATGTGTGAGTGTATGTATGCACGATAGAATGGAGTAAATGTACATTGAATGAGAATCCTATTGTGCTAGGACACTATACTTGTACGATTGTTGAAACCCAGGTCATGGAAAATTAAAATTAGTATTACCTATAAAAAAAACTAAAAAAACCTCGACTGCTAGGGTAGTGCAACATCTGTATTGAAGAGTATTCAGTACAAGATCTTGTATTTCATGGGCTGACAATCGCCTTTATCCCTTTCGTTATATTCAACAGGTGTGTGATAAATCAGGTTATTAAGTAAATATATTATATCATATAAATATCACCTCCATATTATAAATATAGAAATCGTGTATCTTCGATACAATTTCGGGGCAGAACTTTTATTAGCCACCAGAAATTTATCAGACAATTACCCCGGTCAAACACCCAAACCATACATCTCTGATATCATTTCGCCACTGACAGATATGTTCTATATTACAGTCTTCGGTTGTTTCACCGGATCAATCACAACGAATAGTAATCCATTCTCTCCTCCTCCTAAAAATTCGAGTAACCAAAACAAAAGTTGTGTCTTACAGAGTTGCCAATTTCCACATATTTGTTACAGAGACAAGCAATCATTATGTCGGTGTAATTAAAGTATAGTTATGTATTCGCGTATATATAAGGTCGACGCCTCACAAATAGGGATGGTTCATGATTTTAACAATTCGGAAAATAGCCAAGGTTATCTTATAGTTCCGTATCCCTTATACTAAGTATAACTTACACCGAACATCCACCTTCAACATAACGTGGACTCACTGTATAGATCTGAAAGCATCAAGCAATTTACGAATTTTCATAACGGTAATAAATGGTTGTTATTTATCACCACTCGCAAATCCAACTAATCTTTTATATGTTTTTATAAGAAGTTGAATTTCAAAATCGTATTTAAAACTCATAAATGTAAGACAAACTTATTCGCAAGCTAAGAATGCTTTTGAATTTTGTTCTCGGAGTACCAGCAGTACAGTAACAGTGTTGACCTTGGCTGTCTCATCTGCAATGAGAGGGATCTAAGCTAGAAATGAAGTGTAAATGATCAAAAATGGCATTGCTGGTGATGAAAGAGCTATAGTCCATCAACTCATCTTCAACATTACTGTTCTAATTTGGGAGTGAGTTTTTATCAAAGGACCAGTGTAAAATCCGTTGCATCGTAGTTATTTGATTAAACTTCCTTTCTGAGTTGTTTACTTTTGATGAAACTAGGTGTTGGTGGTGTTCGTTAGGCAATACAATTTTGGTTCGCCTGGTGATGGGGCCATTGTTCTACGAGTAGATGGAAGAGAATTGGACTATGATGACAGATTAATGGAACTGGTGTCCGGGGCTCAAATGAGTTTGGACATTGAGGTTACCACACAAAGGTAAGGTGTCACATTTACCTTCGGGAATGAAATTTTCAATTTGAAAATAAAGAGAGTGCTATGACTGTGAATGACACCTACTCCCTTTTACAAGAATGATCAAGACAAGCAGGACGGTGGTCACAATCAACTGCTTCCGTAAGTATGCTACACATTTGGAAATATCATAAACTCCTTTTTCAAGGTGATTGAACAAAAATGTCGAAGAGCTGACGCGTCTGCTTAAAAAGGCGGAACTGACAGATACATCTAGTGTATCCATATTTGAAACGGAAATATTATTGAGGACAACTCTGCCTCTGTATGACGTTAAGGTGAAACATGTCTCACCAAAACAACCAAGCTTTGTTCTCGGAAATATCAACCGCATCCTGTTGACGAAAATGTTAGGTGAATTACACCACGGGGACCAGTACGAGAAGACAGACATCGACAGTAAACACGTTCAGCGTCTCTCTAAGTTTACTGTTTCGCAACAAAATCAAATATTGGATATAAGTCAAGTCGACGACAGTCACGCGTGGTTATCAATACACGAATACCAGGGTCTGGTACTGATCAACAGGGAGGGTGTGGTCAAAGAGGCAGTAAAACTTGACTTTTGTCCGCACAGAATCACCATGGTCGAGACAACAGACATACTTATGACCAGTAACCCAGTAAATACATTTGTATATAAACTATCACTACCTAACAAACAAGTGACAACATTTGCTGACATCAGACCACATAGAGCATACGACATCAGTATCAACGAGAAGGATGAGGTGTTAGTTAGTACAAACACACCAGACATAGTGGTACTGAATCATGCAGGTACGATTGTGAGGAAGGTACCGTGTGGAATGGATGGGCGGTGTATTACATGTTTGTCGTCAGGAGACATTGCAGTGTCGGACTTAAATAATGTATCAATCGTACCAGACAGTTCTGGTACAACCAAATATAAATGGACTGGTGAACTCAACAACGGTCAAAAAGTTGGTAGTAGGGACATATGTACGATGCCACGTGACAAGTACGACAGACTGTTTGTACCAAATGTCACTAACAGTCAGATGTATGTCCTACCGAGAGATAGTACACAGGCCTCGTGTCTCCTGGATCAGAAACGTGGAGTGACCAAACCTACATCGGTGGGTGTGGACACATGTGGGAAAGTGTGGATCGGATGTGTGGACGGTACCGTACACGTGATCCGACTGTAACATGAGGATATAGTACATGGTGAACATTTGACCTCGTGGTACAATACTGCATTATGTAAATATCATCACAAACAATTCATCAATGTCTGAAAAATACCCTCAAATATCGATTCATATTTTAGAATAATTCGAACAATTGATCAATTGGTGTAAATGACATATTTGAAAAACATTTTAAAGTTATATAAGGATTTTGAACCGACAATGCCTGAGCATGGAACTGATCAATCAATGATAGTGAGCTGCGCTGAGGGTTTTGTTTTATCTATATGTGGGATTAGGTATTGTTTTTATTTACTCAGTTAATAAAGATTTATTTTGAAATATTTCATGTCATCTTAAGGTAAAGATCGAGTACCATAATGTTAAAATATCTTATTATGATTGTCATAATGATGAAATGTTTGTTTAAAACATTTTTGCGACACGTAATTAATTATAGGCATATATGAAGAGATAGTTAGAGAGAAAAGAATCAGACAGACAGACAGACAGACAGACAGACAGACACTTTGTCAATATTTAAGAACGTGCTATATAAAACATCTTCATTACGGTTTTTTTACTCGAAAAGTTCGTTTCCAAACAATACAAACATCTAAATACAAGGTGTTCAATGGATTTAGATTTGTATATACTTTTCTTATTCTCTGTTCATGTATAAAACTAACTAAACTGTGAAGCTCTAAATAAAGTATTTGTATAGGTATTAGGTCTTTGTTTTCTTTGCAATTCATTAAAAAGAAAGGGTACCAATGAGTTAAATTCCATTATTTCCGCTGATAATGTTGTGAATATTTATTTTTAAAGAAGTATTTATTAAAAATATATGTGATGATGCATTTTACAGAACTATAGTTGTGTGAAAATTGAGTGTTTTGAAAATCGGAATGAAAAGGGGGAACAGAAGTACTGCAGAATTCGAACTCATGACTATTATACTGCCAAGCCTACGCCAATACTTTCGTCTAAAGAATAGCTCCGAAGTTAGAATCCAATTTAAGGGCCACAAAGTCTATGAAAATGAAGAGAGCACTAAACGGTTCAAAGGTAGACAGGGGAAGTAACTCTGGGCTACAAAATCCATCTGCTTGGTCCATCTTCTATATATAACGGATATTACTTCAAGTCAAACAAACTTAGTGGAAGGTTCTTTGGGATCATAACTGTTTATACCGTTTATCAACCATGGAAATATCATGGTGAAATATAAGGCACAAATGTAGCTGTTTGATTGACTAGCGTACTTGTATCATTTAGAAAATAGCAGAGACTTTAATTTTGTCATGACATATTTCAGTGAACGAACCCCCTGGAATATCAATGCCATATTGTTAGGGAGGAAACCGTTCACATAAATGACTTGTTGTCAAAAATCCAAATCCAACAAAGTGAACTTTTTATAAAATTATTTGAAAATCAACTGAAAATAACATTTCGATAGAAAGGTAAATATATATCTTTTTGACTTCCTTTATGCTTAATCATTTTTACGCATACCAACAACCCTGGCATGGTGTACTACCACTTCGTGTTGTGTAATTATATTTAGATTTAAAGGGGACGAAAATGTAACGACAACAAATAACTCCAGCCATTCAATTTTCCAACCTTTTATTCGACTGCGTTGTAATTAATTCTTAAATGACTGGTATCAAACCCGGTTGTGTAACTGGAATAAGAGGAGAATAAATGACTGGTAACAAACCCGGTTCTGTAACTGAAATAAGAGGGGAATGACTGGTATCAAACACTGTTGTGTTACTGTTATAAGAGGGAAGTTTTGTAGGTTACAATAACTTATGTCCAGTCTTTGATGTATACTCATTAACAATAAAATGTGTTTTTAAAAAGTCAAATCAGATTTACAATCAATTTGGTGCTCTAAATTCTTGATGAGAAATGAATAAGATGCTGTTTTGTTCATCACATATGTTTTGCGTAATTAAGACACCCATGAAATACTTATATATCCGACTTTATGTAGAGATTTTAAATGCCATCAAGCAGGGTCGTACTAAATCACATATCAAGGCGATCTGTCAAAAGCAGACATTACAGACAAGCGGACAGACGTGATGCCGACATATGGACGAAAACGACGTTGTTTTTAGTTTAGGTTGTCAACTGTTATCCGGTTAACTAAATAGTCGGATATTTATTTAACCCTTTGGGGAGCTCTATGCTTCCCTGTTTTAGACCTACAAATTATCCATAGCTGCGACCAAAAAGGATAGTTTTGTCATAAGAACAGTGTTCACGGTGACATGCTAGAGCTGTTTTTGTACTCTATTGTACAGATTGACAAAGATATCCCTACAGCACCATAGTAATACCGATTTTTTTTAAAGGAAGCCAGAATACACAGTTGTGAAATATAAACTATTAAAGGTACATTTTGAACGCACTTTTACATGCTAGGTGTATGACGAGGTCACACTTGAATGAGCAAGCATGTATTGAAACGTTTGTCGATAAAATTTTGTTCTAAATAGTATTATTGCCACGTATGATTTCGTGTACAGATAACTGTAATTAAATCCCGGCTTACTGTATTCCGATATGTCTTGCCCATTAAATAAACTACCTGAGGTTACATGTAATTATTTCCTTGGTTTAGTTTAAAAACGCGATTAAACTATCATGCTATTTTATTGATATAAATTATGTATGTGGTGTAAATACGTTTTAAATAAAACACTTGTTAAACATATAACGTATTGTCGTTGTTTATTGTTTGATTACAAAATACACCAAATAACCGAATACTCGATCAAACGTGATGGCATACCTGTTTGTAAAAGTTACATTTGTTTAAGTTGTGTGAGGAAACCTAAAATGGAGTACTTTTATTTTGTTTGATGTGGCATTTTACTTTTACAATACAAATAAATGGTACCTATTCGAACTTTTCGTTTAAAACAAATGTGTATTTTGCTGCATGTTTATCGTCAGGAGAGGTTGCAATGTCGGCATGCTATAATATATCAATCATAGTTCACAGTTCAAGTATAACTAAATATAAATCAATTGGTGGACTCAACAATCGCCAAAAGGTTCGTAGTAGGAGTAGCCATAAAATATCATCTGACAAGTACGACAGAGTCTGTGTGCGAGACCTGAGGAACAATCACGTGTATGTTCTTTACCAGAGAAACGGATCGGTTACCCCTGAAAGAGTGGGTGTGGACACGTGTGGATCGATTGTCGCGACGGTACCTGAACCAATAACATCAATAGGTAGGGCTATGTAACTACTGACTATTACATCCTTCCTATTTACCTGTACCAATAATGTTAATAGCTAGGGCTATGTATCTACTGACTATGACATCCTTCCTATTTTCAAAATTGAAACAGAGGTCTTGGTGTGCATACCATGGTGATCGCATATCATGTTTGTATATGACGTTCGCCCTAACTCCTTAAAGCATGCAAACATCGGGTGGTCGGGGGTGCAGTGGATTATACATTCTTCTTCTTTAATAAAGCACTCTAGTTTCCTCCCAAATTGAGACCCCTGCGCGCTTACATCAGGTCCAAAAAGATAATAAAATATGAGTTTCAATTAATTGTTTCATACTTATTGTAATATGAATAACGTTTTATAGCATAATGAAAAACATCAAGTATCCTGACTATCCGCTCCTGACATCATGGAGGAAGGGATCATATGTGTAGCCCCCTGTCATCTCTGACAGAGTAAGCGTCCACAGCTACCACACTGTTTTGTGAGTGTGCTTCTCCGCCCGAGGCGGTACGTTTTCTTTATAAAGTCGAGTGATATTTATCATGGGTCGAAATATACAAAACCCATCAACAATTTTCACATTGACATTATGTATATTAAAAAAGTAAAATATACAAATATTATTGAGTCACAAGTAACAGTCATTACACGAAAACTCGAATATACATATGTATAACAAACAGATGTTGTAGTGGGGTTGAAAACAATTCAAAACACTCAAGTGTCAACTTTACAGTAACGATTCTTTATTTTAGGGGGTTAGAAATGTTCTTTGTTTTTTCATTGACGATGATTTTTTTTTACAAACAGGGTATATATAGTATAAATAATAATGCAGTAGTATTTACGCTTTCCGAAACTTAGTAGATGAACATAAGTCATCACAACTGTGTGATATCGTGGATCTTAAGTGAAAAGTGGGGCAGAAAGTTAAAATTAACAAGCATCTGTATCATTGTACAGGGGTTGTGACATATGTCTGAAATAAACATTGGCTACACTGCTATGAGTCACATCAAACTAAGATAATTAATTAGTTGTGCCTTGCTGTGCTTTGATTCAACAGTAAATCATTTGTTAATTTTAGACATTTGTGACGAACCCCTGTGCATAAACTGTTTCGTGACGTCAAATGACGTTAACGGGAATTTCGTGCCACTTCTGTATTGTTACCGGGCTAGTTTGGCGGCGACCAGCTCGTTATATGTAATATACATGAGATGAACGTAACACAAATAAACGTGATACACCTTTAACATTAAGTAATGCATAAAATTTGCCGAAAAAGATTATTGCCTCATACAGCTTCTTCATCATATGTATTCAACACTAGTCGTTTTCTTTTGAAAGTCTAAATGTTTGGTCGAAGGGACACAGTTCAAGAACAAATCACAACTTAAATGTATGTCTAATACACACATGTAATGATGGTAACGTATGATAGCAAGATCTGCCTTTAAGTTAGATTATTTTGGCCTAGCGCCAGGAGTCCGGGACATTATACTGTCTGTCGGTCAAGTCACGTGATATAACCGTAACAAGGAAGTGTATAGTTATAGTTGTACCGACACAGAAACAAATGGTAGTATTTCACTGTTTGTGTGTTAAGTACCAACACCATGGCAAGTAACAGATCCGTACGGCGTGCCCAAGAACCCGTTACTTACACATGTGCTTTGTGTGACAGTGAAGACGGGGTAAGATGGTACTGTAACGATTGTCAGGAGAATTTATGTGACCGGTGTAAGGA